CAATATCAATTCCAACATGTCGGCCCCTGCTATCACAGTTTTTAAAGCTAAAGTCACCTGAACGAAATTTGATGAACCATCGTTGACACTTACGAACGTTCAAAACATTTCCGTAAACTTCTTTGATATTCTTTGTGGCTACAGAGGCATTGTTTTCCTGCTTGTATTCAAACAGCATTACATGCCGAATGTGTGTCTCGTCGTGTGCCATCACTATAAGATTAGAGTGTACTAAACTTTACACAATATATAGACTACACTAACGTGACGCTTAGGCGGTTCGTTTAACTATTACACGTGATGTACATTTTTTAAGGGATGGTTAATGAAAGTGTTCCAAAACGTGACATTAATTTCTTGACGACCTAATAAATCTCACTAATTGTTTAGAGTAGCCATAGGGTTGTTCGGGGGTGCTGTTGACTAAAGCTATTTTCTGTCTAGTCTATCAGTTCAAAATTAGGGACAGCTATCATGGATGATATTGTGATGTAGCTTTGTGCGAAGACCAAAGCAATCAGTCCATGGCAATGAAATCAATTCTTTGAATTTCAAGTCAAAGCATTGGTGATTGAATTTATTATACAAACTTAGATATGATGTAGCTTTGTGCGAAGACCAAAGCAATCAGTCCATGACAATGAAATCAATTCTTTGAATTTCAAGTCAAAACATTGGCGATTGAATTTTTTATACAAACTTAGATATGATGTAGCTTTGTGCGAAGACCAAAGCAATCAATCCATGGCAATGAAATCAATTCTTTGAATTTCAACTCAAAGCATTGGCGATTGAATTTTTTATACAAACTTAGATATGATGTAGCTTTGTGCGAAGACCAAAGCAATCAATCCATGGCAATGAAATCAATTCTTTGAATTTCAACTCAAAGCATTGGTGATTGAATTTATTATACAAACATAGATAAGTCCTCTTTGGGTTTTTGTCTTTAAGAAAATCTTATTGTTGTTTGTTAACCTTTAAGGCCAGTTTGCGTAAAGGTTCGTACAGAAATAACTACGTCAATGCGTAATACTATTAACTTTTCATAACATTGTTTAGCAAGCAGTGTCTGGACTTAACTCATGTTTGTTTTTGAATTTCATCTGATTATCTTAGAATGATAAAGTTCGGCTCTTACTCAAAATGTCTCATTTCAATGTTTGCACCAAATCACTGGTAAATGTTACCAATTGAATTCATTATAAATAAACCTTCTCCCCTAGATTTATTTGTATCTGTATAGTTACACCATTATTAGATCAGTAGATTCAGAACATTAGAACAAATATATTGTGTGTATAAAGTGTTTGATATAACATCAATGTTAAATTACAGCTAGTGCACGTTGATGTCAGATTTAACATAATATGAAAGTGTTAAATAATTGCTCCATTGACTATTGTATACCTAAATCTGTTCCAAATAAATTGCTTACTTTTGTTGATATTAGATAAAGAGCTAGAGAAAATGAGTTTTTGTATTACTAGGCTTAGTGAACTAAAATGGCGAATCGTTGGCTGAAATATAAAGTTTATTATTATCATTTGGTGAATAAATAGTTTGAAGAAAAATTAAAAATACGATCGGTAAATTTAACTTAAAATTATTTTTTAATTTAACGTTGTATTTTTGTTGGTGGTGGTGTTGTTGTTATTAGTCTCAGGAAAGCAAAGTTTTAGGTTGACAAGTCCACACAAGTTAAAAACAATGGGAATATTATACTTTTCTTATCACAACTTTGATATGTTAACATCAGTTACTATCCACTTCTATAAATCTAGGTTAGAAGTTGTTTCTTAATATTTTAACTCTACTCTTGTTTCTGGTTTCATTGATTTTTTTGCAAACATTACTCTGAAGTTCGTCACTTCTGTATTTGTTGATAATCTAAATTGTACTTTCTCATTGGTCTTTGGTGCCTTGGTGACCATCAAACAGACCTTCTATGGATTGTTGAACCGGCAGTCAATTGGGAAGATAGAAACTTGCTTTGTCTGGCTGTGATTGGCTTGTTGTCAAAGGTTATGCTGTGCTCAAGGTCAGTTTAACTTTGAAATAAGTTTCATCCCGTTCTCACAAAGGTCAATCTGACCTGGAAGTGGCTCGTGGCTGTACATTTGTTCACCAGAGGCTCAATAGTACGCCTGTCGGCTAATAACGCTAAAACCCGGCTTCAATACTAGTGATGGTCATAGCACAGATAACCCATTGTGTAGCTTTAGGCTTAACAATAAACAAACAAAAACTGTACCTTTGTAAGTTGGATTGCGTTGAAATGTTTAACTTCGACTTTACCTTTCCTTTATTTGTTAACATTTACTTTCAAATATTGTCCCCAAGTGGCTGAGCGGTAACTGTGACTTCTAACGCTAAAAAAAACAACAGGTTTTAATACCTGTGGCACAGCACAAATAGCCCGTTGTGTAGCTTTGCACTTAACAACAGCAAAACCTTTAAACTATTATTTTGATTGTATTTTTTTCTCATTTTCTGCTTTTTGTTTCTTCTTTTTTTAGGCTTGAAGTCTAAAATATAAAATAGTGATACTATTGTTAAGTTTCACGTGGTCTTAGTGAGTGTGTCTTAGAAAATTCTGATTTGCAGCGAGAAGTCACCTTTGTGTTAATACTTCTTAGACCGAAACATCACACAACTGTTATTTACTAATTATTGCTATTATCATTAGTTAAAAAAATTATAGCAATATTTATCTTGGTGCATGTGAACTTTTGGTATATTTCTGTTTTCAGTATCGGAATCTCCACAATAGAAGAATTTTCTTTAATAGTCACTGTTTTTTGTTGTTGTTGTTGTTGTTGTTTTTTCTTATAATGAGAATTATCGGGTATTTCCTGAGAAAAAAGCGCTGCCCACACACAGTTTTTATTTTAATTATTTACAGCGTTTAGGTGTTCATGAAATCGTGTTCTCATTGTAATGTGAAAGATATTTAGTTTTTCTGGATAATCAATCTCAAGTCATGACAAACTTAAAATTGAAATTTCGAGTTTTAATAATTTCTCCCAACCCTGATATTCCGACTAATGCCATGGTATAACCAGTTGAAAATTGCAATTTCGGAATTTAATAGATTTTTTCTCCACCCCGATATTTCGACCAATCCCATGTCATGACCAACTGAGAACTGCAGTTTCGGATTGTAATACATTTTTTTCACCCCGATATTTCAACAATATTTTAACTAATCTCATGACTAACTGGAAACTGCAGTTTCGAATTCTATTCTCTGTCGTCGACCCTAATAAACCAATGCTAGAAAATGTTATTCTGATGAGTTATTATGCAATCTGGTGTGAGAGACAGGTTTCATTTATATATAAACTTTCTACCGTTTCGGAGTGATGAGCATCTGAGGCTATTATATTTAGCACTTAGTTTTTTCGTATATCAGTCTTCTTAATACAAATATTTCAACTTATTTATGTTTGGATAAAAATGTTGTATTAATCTTAATTTTTAGCTTTGAATGACATTCTTATTACTGTAGATAATATTTTGTCTATACTTTTTTTTGGGGGGGAGGAATACCATATTTCTCTTGAAAATAATTCCAAATGTTAGTTATCTTATAACGTAATAACAAGTACAGTGTCGGTAAACGGTGATATATTTGTAATGAGCATATTTGCTTATATGGTTTGTTGTGTCTAGTAAATTGGTTAATACCAATGTGATCATACAAAAGATATCTCATGAAGAACCTTAATGTAGACTTATGGGTCCTCCACATATAAAAAGATGTAGATATTTGCATATATATATATTATATATATATACTTGCAGAAAAAACTTATAATACGTTCATTCTCCAAAGTTAACGTTCTATTGAATTATCAAAATTAATCTTTGACTCAGAATAATAGAAGATAAAACAATAAAATCAATAATATAGTACTTAACTAAAGTGTGATTAACAGAAAAACAAACAATGATTATATATCACAAAAGTACAGGGTCGTGCGCAGGAATTTATAACACCATATCAACACATGAGCATACGTCATACGCATAGAAATAAACAGTATTAGACTTTTTCAACATGACTGAGACCATATGCATAGAAATAAACAGTATTACACTTTTCAACATCACTGAGTCCATATGCATAGAAATAAACAGTATTACACTTTTCAACATTACTGAGTCCATATGCATAGAAATAAACAGTATTAGACTTTTCAACATCACTGAGATCATATGCATAGAAATAAACAGTCTTAGACTTTTCAACATCACTGAGTCCATATGCATAGAAATAAACAGTATTACACTTTTCAACATCACTGAGTCCATATGCATAGAAATAAACAGTATTAGACTTTTCAACATCACTGAGATCATATGCATAGAAATAAACAGTATTAGACTTTTCAACATCACTGAGTCCATATGCATAGAAATAAACAGTATTACACTTTTCAACATCATTGAGTCCATATTGGGAGCGAGATCCTGCAAAAGTATGATAAATCGAAATTTAATTTTGTGAAAACTATACAGAAATTTCTCAAGTCTCATTTTCACTTCAGAAGTGCCACGTTCTCTGTATAACCTAGCTTTTTACCCCGCGGCCCGGCATGGCCAGGTGGTTAGGGCGATCGACTCGCAATCTGCGGGTCGCGGGTTCTAGTCTTACACTGCTAAATTAGCCCTTGTGTAGCTTTGCGAGAAATCCATAACAAATAAACTTTTTACCATGCAGTACAGCGTAGTTCAAAAATTGTATTTAATGAGAATTCCCCACTGATGCCGATCTAATAATGTTCTAAATATCTAGACTCAAAGTTCAAAGTTGTATTGGCGAGACTAAATGGGCTTTTCCATTCACATACTCATTTTTTTTTACTCTAAGTTAATGCAGCTTATCGCCCCTGCTAATGTGTGAACATTCTACAGACATGTGATTTCATATATCAAATTTTGTTTTCATTAAGATAGAAAATATAATGGTATAAAACGTGATTTTTTTATCATTTGAAAATCGCAAGTTCGGAAAATGATCGATAGGTTACTACGTTCCATTGCCGATAAGAACTTACAAGTTATAAACTGGAAATCTGAAACATTTATTTGTTGTTCAATAAACGTCATTTTTATCTTTAGGTTGTTTGATGTCAAACGCTGTGCTCGTTGTCAACAGGGAATCTTCGCCAATGAATTAGTTATGCGAGCCAAAGACTTGGTGTATCATATTCATTGTTTTACATGTGCGTGGTGTAACACAGTGCTAACCCAAGGAGACTATTTCGGACTGAAGGACAACCTAGTTTACTGTCGAACACACTACGAGCTACTTGTACAGGGCGAATCTTATCTGCCGCCAGACATAGGAACAAACAGAACTATTGAAGGCCAGTCCGGTGAGAGCGGGCAGTTTCACTATTCGAACTACACATCCACAGGTACTGTCAGGAAAGGAAGACCGCGGAAACGGAAGTCAGCGGGTGTGGAAGTTAACGGTATGACGACACAAAACATAGGTGAGTTTGATAAAGGTGTATGTTTCTGATGTACTTCTACATTAATAAACATTGAGTGTCGATGTTTGATAATCCACAACTCCAAGGAGAATAAAGGTAGCTTACTGTAACAGTGAATTTAATAATTATGTGTGTGTGCCTTAATATACAATTTAAAAATTTTAAATAACCTTCTTTTGAAATTTATCCTTTTTGGATATGTAACAATAAAATAAACAGATTGGAATATGAAAAATATTTTATGAAAAAATAAAAGCCTCTTTGAAGAATATTTAATATCAAATTATAGAGGGAGATTAACATGCAAAGTAACATTTCCCGCCTGTTTTAAAGACATATCTTAATGTACAATAAATCAGGGTACAAGGTGAAAAGAAGTAGAGTAAATACTTTATTAAATTTTATATTAGGTATACAACTGATAACTTTGTAGCTCATTGTAAATTACAAGTATATTAGAAAGTTATACTAGAATTACTCAGGGTTTATATTTTATTATGAAGTAATCTATATGTTTATGCTTTTTATCACCGATTATACAACTTGCGGAGATTATATATATCTTAAAGCAAAGAATTTCAAAAAACAAGATGCTATATATAAATTGTATTTTTTAAGGTGAAAATAAAAATAGCCGAAGACCAGTGAAAACTACGAAACCGTTTCTGTAAAAAAAAGTAAAAATAGCTGAAGAGTAGTGAAAAACTACGAAACTGGTTCTGTAAACAGCAAGTAACTGTAAAACTTGAAACAGAGAATGAAACAGGTTATTTTAATGAAATATTTATTTATTCTAAATTTAAGAATTTCACTTCAAGAAGTATAATAACGAATACAATTTGAACATTTGTTAACAGTTGCTTTGGTGTGAACGCCTTTTACAAGCTGGCGAAGAATGATTATACTTTTCAAAAGCAGCATAATAAGGCTTTTATCAGTATTTTAAATACCGATTACACTGATGCTTTGCCATGTAATTGTTTTTAATAACAACTTGACTGATCCTTTTCGTCAACATGCTATTACGGGTGACCTTAAAGTTTCGGATGATGACGGACTTATGAAAATTCTGAAAAAAACGCTTTAAATTCGTATTTTCTGGGACTACAAACAAACTTGTTTTTCTCAAATCACTAGAAAGAAATATTGATGAATACGTATTTTGAAAATCGATACAAAACTTTTGCCAACTCTCAAAGAGCGGAAAAATATTCTCACATCTATTAAAAAATAAAATCAATGCCTTATGTATTTCTGTCCAGAAACCTGACCTTCCTGTTTGAACAAACCACTTCACTAGTTTAACAAAAATTTGTGATAATCCTTGTATTTGTTTCGAATTTCGCGCAAGGCTACACGAGGGCTGTCTGCGCTATCCGTCCCTAATTTAGTAGTGTAAGACTAGAGTGAAGGCAGCTAGTTATCACCACCCACCGCCAACTATTGGGCTACTCTTTTACCAACGAATAGGGTGATTGACCGTCACATTATGACGCCTCCGCGGTATGTTTGATTGGACGAGGATTCGAACCCGCGATCCTCAGATTGCGAGTCGAGCGCCCTAGCCACCTGGCCATGCCGGGCACCCCTAACCCTTGTAGATAAATCTAGATGCAATTTTGCATTAATCTGTAAAACGTTTTATGCTTTTTTTCTATCTTAAAAGAAATCAATGTTACTTCTATTTTAAACAATTTATGTAAAATAGCTAGAAAAAAAATTACCTTTCGTCGTAAAACTCGTAATAGTTAAAATCAATTTTTCTTTAGATTACCATTAACGCATGAAACTCCTAATAGATTCAGATTTATTACATGCTCAGTAAAACTTCTGATAAACCACTTGGTTTACTATTAATCAAATCATAAATGGCTTAGCTGATAATATTAAAATCAATACTGGTAAATTTTCTAATAAAGGTTATTGGACTATTAACAATGATAACAATGTACTAGACTGCCTGAATAATTTAAATTTTACTGATAATTATTCGCTAATTTCCTTTGATTTTACTACTCTTTTAACAAAGATATCCTTTACGGATCTTATCAGTCTTCAACCTTCTTTTTGATCGAGATATGGATGATATCTGTAAGATCTCCGATCGACCTTTAACTAAAGAAATGGCAAAAAAAAATATTTTTAGTTACTGTATTTAATAATTACATCAAATTTAACCATAATATTCATAAACAACGAATAGGAATGTTGATGGATTCTAACTCCTCATTGAATGTGGAAAATGTGTATCTCTTTTATTACGAGCATTTATTCATCTCACAGTCACAAAATCCCGATCAGTATTGCTTTAATTTTCGTTACATAAATGATCAAATTTCTTTTAACAATCCAGGCTTTGAATTAACTGTCTCTACTATTTACCCAGTGGAACTAGAACTTCATATGACCAATGAAACGACAACTTCTTATCATTTCCTTGACCTAAATATTTCGTTTACTAATGGCAATCTGAACATAAACATTTATGGTAAAAGAAACGACTTCTAATACCATGTATACAAGTTTCCTTCTGTTAATAGTGCAATCCCAAATACTTTGCTTGAAGGTGTTATTAGTTCATAATTAAAAACATTTATGTTAGTGTGTAACACGGCTGAATACTTTTTATTCTGTGCCAAATAATTAACTGAAAAACTCAAATTTAATGGTTATCGCTTTCCCACCACATTCCAAACCTACAGATTATTTTTCAATAAATATAACATTGCACTAAATAACTATGTTTCTAATTCTATTCTAAAAGATACGATTTTTACCTGCAAAGACAGTTCTTGAACCTGTTGGCCTTCTGTGCACTTTCAACTGGCATTGTTCACGTTCAAGGACGATTTCAATGTACTATCACGTGAATCTCCCAGTCTAGCATTCGTTTTCAGTTAATTCTTTGTTCTATAGTCTTAAGAAGGTATGATCTTATCCTTTTTTATCTTTAAGTTAATGCTGTTGTTGTTTGCTTTCTAATGCAAGTAATAATGGACAGGAAAACCCAACTTCTAGGTGACTGAAAGAACTTCAGTCTGCCCACACTCGCTAAAGCTTTTCTTGAATCTAAATTTATAGAAATATAAATTTGTAGCATTTTAAATAAGTTTTTCTTGCTACGCTCAGTTACATGGTGACCTTTTCTTTGGCGTTTTTCTTTTCACTTTGCATTCAAGGAGAAAGAATGAGATGCTTTTGATTATATATATGGTTGGGAACATAATCTATTTTATTTATTTTATATCTTATTTTGTTTTGTTTACTATTCGTATCTTGTATACTATTCCTTTACTATCTTGATTCTGAAATCTTTAGGTTTAGATATGGTTGAGTTGTTTATTATTTCTTTGATTTTATTATTGGACAACTCTCTCTCTTACTAATAAATAAACTTAGTATTCCAAAAATTGTTTAATTTCGATGTCTAAGTTCAAGGGAGGTCCAGTTCAATGTACCTTTGGATCAACATGTGTTATTGGGTTATACTAGTTTCGGAGAATTCCACTCCTCATCAGTGACCCTGCACACAAGTTAACCAAAGAGAAATAAGCTGGGCCTATATCATAGTGAAAAGTATCAAACATACTGTTGGTGTGAACAATGGAAGAGTGAAAGTCTCCGAAACTAGTATAACTCAATAACACACGTTGATCAAAGTGTAGATTAAACTGGACCTCCCTTGAACTTAGACTTTGAAATTAAACAATTTTCGGAATACTAAGTTTATTTATTATATCTGCTATTTTGAGGCTATATAATGTGAAGAACTGAATAGTGACCAATGACACTTTTTCTTCACTTCAACTATCCAGTGTATAGGTTTTTCTCATAGTGACTACAAACCACGTTCACACCAACAATGTGTTTGAACTTTAGGCACCATATCCAAACAGGACGTTGGTTACCAAGGTCTTTCACAGAATCTCTATTCTCCTTGATGCACAAATAATTTCCAATGTCGATACATTCATCCATTTAGATAGACTCTTGACATAAGTCAACCTCTGTCTTCCATGGTCTCTCCTTTCTTTACTCTTTCCGGTTACGACTAGACTTTCAATTTCTTCTTTTCTCGTAGCGTCTCCAAGAAACTTCAACTGCCTCTTTCTGGTGTTAGTCAGCAGCTCCCTCCTGCAACCTTCTCTTGATAAATTATCTACATCTGAGGTGTGACTTAAGAACCACAACTAAATTGCTTCAATTCCCTTTTCCATACTTGTCGATATTATCCGAAGTTCTAATACAAACGTGAAAATTAGTATAACATAACAATCTAAAACTCTTCACTGTGTCTCCACAGAAATTTTACTATTTGTCAGTATATTTTTCATTTTCAGGAATGCGTCTTTTGCCATCCTATTCTCAGTTTAATTTTATGCTAATTTACATAAATGGTTTAAAATAGAATTAACATTGATTTCTTTTAAGATAGAAAAAAAAGCATAAAACGTTTTACAGATGAATTCAAAATTGCATCTAGATTTAACTACAATGGTTAGGGGTGCCCGGCATGGCCAGGTGGTTAGGGCGCTCGACTCACAATCTGAGGGTCGCGGGTTCGAATCCTCGTCCCATCAAACATGCCGCGGGGGCGTCATAATGTTACGGCCAATCCCACTATTCGTTGGTAAAAGAGTAGGCCAGTAGTTGGCGGTGGGTGGTGATGAATAGCTGCCTTCCCTCTAGTCTTACACTGCTAAATTAGGGACGGCTAGCGCAGATAGCCCTCGTATAACTTTGCGCGAAATTCAAAATAAACAAACAATCCTTGCCGTTAGTGACTGACTACATTACTTTACTCAACCCTTAGTTTGAACTTTGCTGAGTACACATGTCAAATACTCCCAATCACATGTTCTGAAAGTTCCCGCATTTCCAAACGACTTAAAATTAAACTATACCCTGCCTGGCATATTATTATCTAATAGAAAATCTTGTAACTTCATCTGGTGAACTTTACTGTTGAATGTAACTCTTACCTGATGATGACTCTATAC